GAGCCCTCAGCCAGGACCCCAGCGACGGCGAGGCACTTACGCCCGGGTACCTGTTGATAGGTCGCTCATAGCCCCCCAGCACTGCGGACTCCGGACCAGGAGGGTCTCAGCTGCTTGCGGCGATGGCAACTTGCCTCGTCAGTCAGGCATCGTTTTGGCGGCGATGGTCCCGCGAATATGTCCTGGGGCTGCAAATTCGGGGCAAGTGGCACCATCGGAAGCCCGACATCAAGGAGGGAGACGTCGTTTTCGTGGCCGAGGACAACATGCCTCCACAGGAGTGGCTCCTCGGGAGAGTCATCGCCACGCACGCGTGGACGTTGGAAAGAGCGATGGAGGCGTTTTTCGGCGGGCCATCCACAAGTTGGCGCCGCTACCATGTTGTTGAACACGCTACACGTTAGGGCAAGGCAGGAGCGCAATAAAAGCTCGCTCTTTCGCTCAAGGCAAATTCGCCCCGCTTTGCCACCGTATGTTAGCTAGGAATAGAACGAATTGTAATGAATTTTATAATATAATCGTTGAAATTGAATTCGATCGAGCGCACGAGAACTTTGTTAGTCCCGCATTTTTTAACAAACTTTACGCCACCCAAGTCTTTCGGTCTTCGCATTTGGAAAAACTATTCTAAATTTTCAGGGAGACGACAATGGATCCACGCGATGAGGAAGGAGGACCTGGTTCAATGTGGCCTAGCCTTTGGACTGCTGCTGGAAGGTACGCTGTCCGAGATGCGCCGGGCATTCAAAGACTGGGTGGAGAACCATGAAGAGGAACCAGAATAAGCCGATCTGATCGAAGAATGGGTGCTACGAGCAGGCAAAACTACACCCACGCCCCAGACGGAGGAAAAGCAAGAGGCGTACGAGCGCTTGGCCGTACCCGGCGGCACGGGACAGTCGGGAATGTGGAAACTGCCGGCAGAGGCCGCGGAGGAGCTCATCGCCAGTCTGGCCGTGCCGATGAAGAGTCGATCCCCTAGCCGACAGCGGACAGAAAGCAAAGAGTGGACGGGCATCCCAGCTCCCTCAGGTCAACGGGAATCAAGGAACCCACACCCGACGGGAGAAGAACAAGCGAAGAGGCAGCTGCGAGCAAGCTATGCGCACGTTGCCAAACAGGTGAGGGAGTGGTCTTTCCGGTTCGACGAGACGGCAAAGCCACTTGAATTTTTGGAGCAGGTCGAATGGTCAGCGGACATGTATGGGCTAGAACTTAATATGATCCCCAGGGCGATGCCCGAGCTGCTGAAGGGACGGGCGCTTACGTGGTTCGTCGCCAACAATGAGCATTGGCAATCTTGGGCGGCTTTCTCACGCAGCTTCCAGGCGTTCTTCCTACCAAGGGGTGATTTTGAAAATTTTCTCCAGGAGGTGAGAACGCGGAAGCAGAGATGGGCAGAACCCTTCAAGGATTATATGGTGGAGATGCAGCCGCTCGTCCGGCCATTGAAGTGCCCACCAGAGGAGGAGTTTGAATTAATCCGAGAGAACAGCATGCCGGGCCTAAGGATGTTCATCCGACCACACAGATGAAAAGATCTGGAAACGCTGATGACCCTGGCGGATGAGTTTGAAGCGCTGGAGAGGGATCGGGTGGAATTCCAACGAGAGGACCCGACGAGTCGGGCGAAGGCCAATAACCCATTCACCAAGACGGCCGGCCCGGAGGTGTGTCGACGATGCAAGGAAGAGCCAGTGACCAACACCACCAAGTCAGCGGACCGGAAACCAACGCCGCCAACGGCAGAAGAGCAGGTAGACACCAACGTCGAAGTGGAATCCGTGAAGAACCCCGCGCAAGCATGTCGGCGGTGTGAGAGTGACGCACATTGGGCGCAAGCATGCTCAGGGCGCCCATTGACATACTGCTGGCGGTGTGGCAAGGTCGGCGTGCTGACGTGGCAATGCTGCAAACGGGCGGGAAACGCCCCGCGACCCAAGCCACGAAGGGCCGTGCCGGGGTCGCAAGAGGAGGCCCCAACAACCTAGTCGGCGGCCGCGTGCGGCTGGCGGACGGCCACATTCAGGAAGTGAATACCCAACTCGAAGTAGAAATTGCGTTCGGAGACAAGAAGGAGTGGATGTCGTTGCTCGTGCTACCGGGCGTGATCGACGCGTTGGTCCTCGGCTGGGACTTCCTGACCGCAGTCGGTGCAGAGGTGACCTGTGCGGGGCACAGATCCCTGCGAAAAACCGACGGGACGGACGGCCAGAGGAAAGGCTATCCGTGGCGGTATTGGAGGCCCTTGAGGCGCCCACATCAAGCGGAGGGACGATGATCGAGTCCCCAGAAGAAGAGCCAAGCGAGGAGACGCGGGAGGAGGAGACGGTTGAAGGATTCCTCGATCGGGAATTGGCCGAGTTCAAGAAGATGACGGGAACGACGAACGTAGCGGTGCATATGATCACAATGAGGGATGCACAGCCCATTAAGCAACGATACTACCCCAAGAATCCCAAGATGCAGGCCGAAATCGACCAAAAGGTAGACGAGCTAATCGAGCTAGGGTGTATCGAGCCATCGCGAAGCCCCTACAGTTCGCCGATCGTGATGGTCAAAAAGAAAACCGGGCAGTAGAGTGGAAGGTGATGCCGTTTGGGCTACACTCTGCATCGGCCACATTTCAGCGTTCACTTGACATGGTGATTGGACCCGAAATGATGCCGCACGCCTTTGCCTATCAGGACGATATAATAGTGATAGGAAAGACCCAGGGGGAACACCGGCGGAATCTAAAGGAGGTGTTCAGGCGTCTAAAGAAGGCAAATTTGAGGCTGAACATCGGAAAGTGCCAGTTCTTCCGACAAGAGTTGCGATACTTAGGACACCTGGTGACGGGGGAGGGCATCTGCACGGATCCCGAGAAGGTGGTAGCGATAGCCGAACTACAGCCCCCAGCTAATGTCAAGGAGCTACGTCAGTATCTGGGCGTGGCCTCATGGTATCGAAGGTTTGTGCCCGATTTCGCCACATTGGTACAGCCCCTGAGCGCGCTATTGAAGAAGAAGGCGAAGTGGGTGTGGACAGAGGCGCAGCAGCAGGCGTTCGAGGCGGTAAAAGGTCAACTGGTGGCAGACCCGGTGCTGGCCTGTCCAGATTTCAGCAGGAAGTTTGTGCTACAGACGGATGCCAGTGATTACGGGCTGGGCACGATCCTTATCCAGGAAACCGAGAGAGGAGAAAGAGTCATCTCGTACGCCAGTAGAACGCTCAATAGTGCTGAGAGAAATTACTCGGCGACCGAAAAGGAGTGCCTGGCCATAGTGTGGGCCATAAGGAAGTTAAAGCCGTACTTAGAGGGATATCACTTCAAGGTGGTTACCGACCATATGGCTTTGAAGTGGCTCAATAGCATCGAAAGCCCAACAGGGAGAGTCGCCCGGTGGGCTCTAGAACTACAACAGTACGATTTCGAGATTGCGTATAGAAAGGGACAACTCAATGTGGTGGCAGATGCGCTCTCCCGGCAGCCGCTGGTGGAGCGGTGTATGAGAGTGGACGAAGAACCAGTCAAGGTCTCAGAAACTGTGGCCCCATGTACGTGGATAGCGAAAGTGATCGACCAAATCAAAAAAGAACCCGAGAAGTTCCCCGACTACGTGGAGGAGGCAGGAAGGTGTATAGGCACATTCCCCACAGAGCCGGAGACGAGGAAGTCGCGGCCTGGAAGATGTGTGTCCCAAGAGACCTATGGAATAGAGTCATCAAGGAAAACCACGACACACCGGAGGCGGGACACTCCGGAGGACGGAAAACCATGGCGCGCGTAGCGGGACGCTATTACTGGCCCGGGATGCACATAGACGTGAGGGCCTACGTGAGGAAGTGCGAGGTATGTTTAAGGTTCAAACCAAACCAACAACAAGCAGCAGGGAAGATGCTGACCCAGGTGCCCGAGGAACCCTGGGTGACAGTGTGACAGGTCTAAGCACGGGAATTCAATGCTGCTGGTCCTTGTGGACCGGTTCTTAAAGTGGACAGAGTTGGTGCCCCTAAGGAAGGCCACGGCTGAGACACTCACAAAAGCGGTACTGGCACGGAAAACAATGACCCGATGAACACCAATTCTGACGATATTTCAGTCGGAGAAAATATGACTGTAGGGCTAGACCATGCCTCCACTCCCACGCACAGCCAGGGTAAAGGCAGATTCCGAGTGCCGAAGGTAATAATTACGGACAACGGAGTCCAGTTTACGAGCTGGATTTTCAAAAAGTTTTTAGAACAGATGGGGGTCAGACACCAGGTCACGGCACCATATACGCCCCAGGAGAATCCCACGGAACGCACGAACAGGACGGTAAAAACCATAATTGCGCAATTCTGCGAGGGGGACCAGAGATGCTGGGATGAGAAGTGGCCAGAACTCATGTTGGCAGTGAACTCCGGCGTGTCAGACTCAACGGGGTACTCTCTTGCATTTATTGTCCAAGGCCGGGAACCACGACTGCCAAAAGCCCTATTTGATGAGGAAACAATAGGGACCGGACAGGGCACGCTCACGCCGGACGAGGCGGTGAGGCGGAATCTGGAAAGGGCAGCGCAGGACCAGGCGAGATTCTACAATCTAAGGAGAAGGCCCTGGAAGCCGAAGATCGGAGAGGTAGTGTGGGCGAAACAACACCATTTGTCAAAGGCGGCTGAGGGATTTGCAGCAAAACTGGAGCCAAAGTACGCGGGTCCGTACACGATAATGGATTTCGTGTCACCCGTCATCTGCCGGCTAAAAAGCACTAACGAAAAGCGAATGAGGACGGCTCACATCAGCGACCTGAAACCACAACCGAGTGAGAAGGGGACATAAGGCATATCCAAAGGAAAAAAAAAGGAGGAACAAGTCTACAAGGAGGCAAAGAGAAGAAGGGGAGGAGTCAGTGCCAAGGCTAATAGCAGGATCGAGGGCGAGAAGATCTGGAAGAGAGGAGCATTAAAATCGGAATAAGTATGGAGTCACAGATACGGACGGTGAGGTGAGTCGGAGGACACGGTGATCCCAGATGGGGGTCCGAGGAGTGGCCAAGATCCGGATCAAATCCAGGACACCCTGGGCAGCTTTGAGCGTCGGGAACGATCAAAGCGGATGCCGCCCGTGCGTAGTCTACCGGGCGGGGAATCAGATGATCCTCGGGTCCGAGCTGCTGTACGGGGAGATGTCCGAAGTCCGAATCGATCCGAGGACGGAAGAAGCTGACCAGGTGGCGGGCCGTCATTCGGCAACCCGGGCGAAAGGTCGGAGGGCCTGTTGTTCGCGGGCGGGAATGACGGTCAGCATCCTGGAGTGAATCTAGGGTCGGGCTGGAAAGAGAGGGGAGTGAGATGTGAGGACACCATAATGCTGGATAGTTACCGTGTGCAAAGGCATATCCATTCAGTCCAGTGATCGAACCATGCGATAGCCGGAAAACCTGAAACAAAAATAAATTCGCTTATATAAAAGGAAAAAAAGGAGAGGTAGACTTAGTGAATATAAGTGTGCCTAAAGACCCCGAAGCGGCTGTATAGGGTTAACGCAGCGAATAGTTTGGATAGTGGATAAACGGTAGTTAGCTGCCTCTCATTGGTAGAAGGAAGAGAGGCACGGAATGTCGAGAGAGAGCGAGGCGCGAGGCTCAGGCAAAGCCCCGTTAGGCGGAACGATGGACACGGACCCAAGAATATAAAAAGGGGAGCGCGTCCGTCACTCAGCTCTTTTTGCACACGTGTCAAATAAAAAAAAAAGGTTAAGATGAGGCAGCATTTGGCGAGATATCTGGCGGAGCAACGGAGCTTGATGTGACGGGGATATTATGGCTCGTTGTCCCGGAGCCAGCGACGTGCGAATCGGCTCTCGCGTGATGGCGAAGGGCAACGAAGGGAGGCGTCTCCTGAGCTGCAGCTCCTTGCGTCCCCGCTGATCTCGTCGGAAGGCTCAGTGGGAGCCACGGCGTCGCCGGTCGTGTCACCTGGGCCCAGCGAGGCCGACAGTGACTTGGTGGTGACGAGCTGGGAACCGGCACCAAAGACGGCGCGACCAACGGCGAAGCGGCCATCGAAACGGCCACCAACAAGGGCCGAGGAGCCACTGACGGCGAAACGGCCACCAACAAGGGCGAGGAGCCACCGACGGCGAAACGGCCACCAACAAGGGCCAAGGAGCCACCGACGGCGAAACGGCCACCAACAAGGGCCGAGGAGCGAGAGGCCAAGGAAAAGCGGGTCGCGGAGTGACGGCGGCGGATCGCGCTTGAGGCAGCAAAGGAGGCGTTGTGGCAGCGGCAGGTCTGGGAGGACGCGCAGGCGCTGGCCAGAAAATTTAAGGCTGCGCAGAAGGCGGAGCAGGCGGCCGAGGAGGCCAAGGAAAGGGCCCGGCAGGAGGCTGAGGAGCAGCACCGGACGTGGGTGCTGAAGCGATTCGTGGCCGAAATGCGGGAGAAGGAGCGGCAGAGGGCCGAGGAGAGGTGCCGAGAGGAAGAGGCGAGGCTGATCCCCGAGGAGGAGGACGGAGGTGCGCCGAAGCCGGAGCCTGTACAAATATCGGCAGAGGAGGAGTGGCGAGATCGGCTAGGCCGGACGGAAGAAGAGGAGGAGGGCCTGTGGCAGCCTTCCCCTCCGACGCCGGAGCCCGAGAACCGAGGCCAGTCCACACCGGAAGAGGAGGAGTGGCAGGAGCGTCTACGCCGGGCGGAAGAGGAGGAGGAAGGCCTGTGGCAGCCTTCGCCTACGACACCGGAGCCCGAAAACCGAGGCCAGGCCACGCCGGCCGAGGAGGAGCTGTGGCAGCGACGGCCGCGGCCCGAGGAAAAGGCTAGGTTCCCAGAAGGAGGACAGGGGCCCCAAGCCTCGTCACAGCAACAGCGCCGGGAGCGGACGCCTCGTGGCAGCAGCAGCAACACCAGTGGCAGGGACCGCAAGGCGCGGTGATTGGGCCGTATGTGACGCAGGAGGTGCGTACGGCGGTGCGTGGAGGAATGGTGTGGCACCACCAAATCCTCCACATCACCTGGGCATCGGGGCCGGCACCGAGGGAGCCGGAGGCTCCGGAAGAAGCGCGGGTGTGGGAGGAGGCGCCACGACGGAGCAACGGCCGCGATCGGCGATCGGCGGCGGCGGAGCCAGCGGTGGCCACAGAGCCAGCAACGGCAGCCGAGCCAGCGACGGCAGCAGAGCACGCGACAGCAAACACAGCGGCGGAGCCCGAAGCGACAGAGGAGCCAGCGGCGGCGAACACGGCAGCGAAGCCGGCGAAGGCAGCGGAGCCAGCGACGGCAGCAGAACACGCGGCAGCAAAAGCGGCGGCAGAGCCGGCAGCGGCGAACACGGCGGCGGAGCCAGCGACGGCAGCAGAACACGAAACGGCCACCAACAAGGGCCGAGGAGCGAGAGGCCAAGGAAAAGCGGGTCGCGGAGTGACGGCGGCGGATCGCGCTTGAGGCAGCAAAGGAGGCGTTGTGGCAGCGGCAGGTCTGGGAGGACGCGCAGGCGCTGGCCAGAAAATTTAAGGCTGCGCAGAAGGCGGAGCAGGCGGCCGAGGAGGCCAAGGAAAGGGCCCGGCAGGAGGCTGAGGAGCAGCACCGGACGTGGGTGCTGAAGCGATTCGTGGCCGAAATGCGGGAGAAGGAGCGGCAGAGGGCCGAGGAGAGGTGCCGAGAGGAAGAGGCGAGGCTGATCCCCGAGGAGGAGGACGGAGGTGCGCCGAAGCCGGAGCCTGTACAAATATCGGCAGAGGAGGAGTGGCGAGATCGGCTAGGCCGGACGGAAGAAGAGGAGGAGGGCCTGTGGCAGCCTTCCCCTCCGACGCCGGAGCCCGAGAACCGAGGCCAGTCCACACCGGAAGAGGAGGAGTGGCAGGAGCGTCTACGCCGGGCGGAAGAGGAGGAGGAAGGCCTGTGGCAGCCTTCGCCTACGACACCGGAGCCCGAAAACCGAGGCCAGGCCACGCCGGCCGAGGAGGAGCTGTGGCAGCGACGGCCGCGGCCCGAGGAAAAGGCTAGGTTCCCAGAAGGAGGACAGGGGCCCCAAGCCTCGTCACAGCAACAGCGCCGGGAGCGGACGCCTCGTGGCAGCAGCAGCAACACCAGTGGCAGGGACCGCAAGGCGCGGTGATTGGGCCGTATGTGACGCAGGAGGTGCGTACGGCGGTGCGTGGAGGAATGGTGTGGCACCACCAAATCCTCCACATCACCTGGGCATCGGGGCCGGCACCGAGGGAGCCGGAGGCTCCGGAAGAAGCGCGGGTGTGGGAGGAGGCGCCACGACGGAGCAACGGCCGCGATCGGCGATCGGCGGCGGCGGAGCCAGCGGTGGCCACAGAGCCAGCAACGGCAGCCGAGCCAGCGACGGCAGCAGAGCACGCGACAGCAAACACAGCGGCGGAGCCCGAAGCGACAGAGGAGCCAGCGGCGGCGAACACGGCAGCGAAGCCGGCGAAGGCAGCGGAGCCAGCGACGGCAGCAGAACACGCGGCAGCAAAAGCGGCGGCAGAGCCGGCAGCGGCGAACACGGCGGCGGAGCCAGCGACGGCAGCAGAACACGCGGCAGCAAAAGCGGCGGCGAAGCCAGCGGCGGCAGCAGAGCCGACGGCAGGGAACGCGGAAGTGGAGCCAGCATCGAAGCCAGCTGCGGAGCCAGCAGCGGCAGCGGGAGTGAACTCACCTGAGCCATGGGAGCGGGGACCATGGCAGTGACCCGCGCTTCCGGGCGCACGAATCCGCGGCCAGAGCGGCGGGAGAAATCGCGGATTCCCATGCGGCCACAGGCACAGGACGAGTTCACCTCGAGGCGCGTCAAGCGGCTGGTGAACGACGGAGGGGTCCGATACCGAGTGACGGTGTCCCGGGACCATCAAGAGGTGTTCCGAGAAGCGGGGACTAAATAAAGGAAAATTGTAAGAAATTGTAATTGTAAGAAAGAAAAACAATAAACAGAAAACATACGTTACCTATAGGGCAAGGGGGGGAAGCCAGCGTTGCCGACGCGAGCAGTCGCAGAGGTCAGCGGCAGAGGACTGCAAGCCACGGCCGATGTTAACGGGGTGGCCGAGGGACGGAAACTAACGGAACGGTCCCGCACGGTGGTGATATGCTGCTTAGGGCAAGCCAGAATAAAATATGTGTAAAGTCACTTACCAGCGTCCATTAAGAATTCCTCGTTGCGGAAGTGGAGTACGCACGTGGCCAGATATCGAGTAAAACCAAAAATCATCCCTACGTCATATCGATGACGTTGATGCAGCCTTGCGGGAGTAGCGCGCGGATGCGCATCCCACCGATCTGGCAGCATCGGGTTAGCCTGGCAGGGGGCTCCAGAACGCGCCCGGTTCGGCAGCGCGGGCGGCCGTTTTAATTCAAAAGTTAACGACCAATGATACGAGAAGTCGCGGATGGGAGTTTTCCGTTGGTGAAGAAAGGGGGAAGTGTGAGGAATGATATCCTCACACGCATGGACCCTAAGGGGTTAAGGTCTATCCGGGTTGCCCGGATAACCGGATAACGGCGAATTGACCGGGAGGGGCTCGCTCAACGGGACAACGGAGAGAGACCCGCGATCAGAGGGCGCTGCCAGGGAGAATAGTGGAGCGCGGAAGAGAAGCGGGATAATGGGATCGGGCCGGCAGTTGTCCAGCGCATGACCATGTATGGCCATGCGATCACGCCACCGGCTTGGTCCCGTTACGAAGCTGGTGGAAAGCAGCAGAGAGGCGGTATGATGGGATCGAGCCGGCAGTGGTCCAGCGCATGACCATTTATGGCCATGCGATCACGCCACCGGCTTGGTCCCGTTACAAAGCAGATAGAGAGCATCAGACTGGCCGATGGAAGATTACAGCCGACGCCTGGAGGAAAGTCCCGTTGTTGCTAGGCAGCAACGGCCGCGGCCGTGCGCCAACAAGGGGATAAAAGGAGTCAAGTGCGGAGAGTGCAAGTGCGTGTATTGGCGAATACCAAGGAAAGTCGGAAAGTGATCTAAAAGTGTCAAGAGAAAGGACCTGGTGTACTGCTCGCTCAACGGAAGGATCCATTGAGAGCGAACGTGTCGTGTGGAACTGAGTACGGAGGATTTTGGCCTAACGCTAGGAATCGTAGTCGTACCAGTTCTGAGAGCCGACAGTGCCACGCTTGGGGATTCCGAGGAACGGCGAGTGGTCGAGAAGGACCGATAGTGATAGTGACCGTAGTGATTAACCAAAGAATAGGCTAAGTCATCGTCCTTAAGCATAATTCCTAAGATACCAATAAAGAACTCGTGTGTAAAGAAGCCAACCAAGTCTTTCTATTTGTCCACCGGGCAACACCCAAATTCGTTGCAACGAACCCACCGGCCGCTGAGTACGCCAAGCGCACATAAGGCGGACAAAACGGTTCGTTACAACAGCTGGAACGTTCCCTGCAACACACAGTTAGCGGATCCTAAGTTCTACAAGTCTCAACCTGTGGACATTTTTATTGGAGCGGGACTGTTCTTTGAGCTTCTCTGCATTGGCCAAATCCAATTGGGAGTTGGTCTGCCACGTCTTCAGGAAACCCTGCTAGGATGGATAATTGCAAGAGAGGTGTCTCAGCCTCGCGCAGCAGATCCACTTTCTTCTGTTTTATTTTCAGTTAACCAGTCTGAAGTGGTCCTACGAGTATTGGAACCTGAACAATCATCGTCTCTTAAATAATCTTGCAAAACAACGCTACCGAAGAAGCTCAGTAGCTCAACAGCAATCATAAATAAAATAAATGAATTGTAAAGTTTATTTAACCAATTTAATGATTGTCCATGATGGACAGTTTTAAATAAATTGCTGATCCGACGATAATTTCCCGAACATTGCAGCCCAAGACTCAGCGTAGACATCTGCATCATCTCTTTTTATACCCGTACTCAAAAAAGAGTTAAGGGGTATATTGTATTTGGTAAAGTGGATGTGTGCAACGCAGAGAAGGAAACGTTTCCGACCCCATAAAGTATATACAGTATGTCAACTAATTGTTTGAAAAATGAAATAAGTCAGACAATTTCAACTTTAGCCTTAAAAATATAAATACATGCATTATTTGGGAAATTTTTGTAAATTAATTTTAGTATATATATGAATAAGCTATAGGTTAGGTTAGGTTAGGTTGTCCCGGACGGCACTCACGGGGCCACGCATAGGCCAATATGGCCCTTAGTTGTCCGGATTGGTGCGTATGGACCTTCTGAGTGTTTTTACGCGGTTTTGAAATCCGTGGGGATCGAGGAGAGTTTTGCAAAGGCAAGGAGTTTCGCTGGCGTCCTCTTGGATGCATCTTCCAGCGATGCCAGTACCGGGCTGCCAAGATGTATGTTTCTTGCCCTTGAGAGGGCCGGGCATTGGCAGATTAGATGTTCCAGGGTTTCGATAGCCCCAGATTCATCACATTTCCTGCACTTGTCACTGTTGGTGATGCCTAGTTTGACTGCATGTGCTGCAGCCAGGCCATGACCTGTGAGTATACCTATTAGCATCCTACAGTCCTTCCGTGGTAGGTGTAGTAGGTATTGGCTGAGTTTACCATTGCTCTCCTTGCACATGGTTTTCGCGATCTTGCAGTTGGTGGTTCTCCTCCACCTGCTGCTGGCCTGTATGTGTGCCCTCCTTTCTAGATCGCTTTGGAGCGCTCTGAGGGAGACAGGCACGTTCTCAGTCCTCTCGTTTGCCAGCCCGACGCCTTCCTTAGCCAGTACGTCTGCTGTCTCGTTGCCTTCGATGCCCTGGTGGCTGGGAACCCAATAGATCCGCACTGACTTAGTCGTGCTTAGGAAATCTAATGCCTCCCTGCTTGCCAGGACATTTTTGGAACTGACCGCTGACGACTGCATGGATCTTATCGCCGCCTGGCTGTCCACGAACAGGTTGACCACATTATGTGGGCGTTCCGTACATCGAGCAACCTCCGCCGCTTTCCGTATGGCAAAGACTTCTGCCTGGAATATGCTGCATTGGTCCGGTAGCTTATAGGACAGCCTTATTTCAGGGTCTGTACAATATATGCCCGCACCTACTCCTTCCTCCATCTTGGAGCCATCCGTGTATATGTTGATGTGTTGGGTCTGGTCCCGACCCCTTTTCCAGTCGTCGGATCCCATAAATGAGGTTGTGTTTACGTCCAGGCAAGTTTGGGGGATAATGTAGTCAGATATACTGGTCATGTCTCGGCCAATTGAACTGTGCCCGAATCCCTGTAGAGACATGTTTCCTGATGCTACTAAGCGTTGTGCCGCCTTTGCTGCAATCAGTTCAGCGTGGATGTCCAGGGGGTCGATTCCGATTATGGTTTCGAGTGCTTTTGTTGGGGTTGACCTCAGCGCCCCCGTAATGCAGAGCAGTGCCTGCCGCTGGGTCCTTTCCATAAGCTTATTGTAAGTCTTCTTTTCTGTCGCTTGCCACCACACTAAGACTCCGTTCGGCAGAGTCGGTCGCACCACCGATATGAAGATCCAGTGCATTAAAGCAGGTGACAGGCCCCATGTGCTGCTGAGCATCTTCTTGGATGCGTATAGCGCAATGGTGGCCTTCTTCACCCTTTCCACTACATTGGGTCTCCACGCCAGCTTGCTGTCCAGTACTATGCCGAGGTATTTGACTTGTGTTTTAGGGGTCAGACTGGTTTTTTCCATTTTCGGGGGGATCCATGCCGGTACCTTGTATCTCTTGGTGAAGAGAATGAGGTCCGTCTTGTCCGCGTTGATACTGAGTCCTACTTTTCCTGCCCACTCACATATCTCCCTGAGTGTTGATTCCATTATGGAGCTGAGGGTCGATGGACATACTCCCGTAATAATTATGCTTATGTCATCTGCATAGGCTGTTATTTTTTGGGCTCTCCTCTCGAATCTCTTTATTAAGTCGTCGACCACCAGGTTCCACAGGAGGGGCGACAGGGCCCCACCTTGTGGTGTGCCTCTATGCGCCCCCCTCACCATGGAAGCGGTGCCCCACTTTGATTGCACCCGTCTGCAACTTAGAAGGTTCTTTATCCAGAGGTTGATTGCGGCATGTGTATTGGTCGCTTCTAGGCGGTCCATAATAGCGCTCGTAGTGACGTTGTTGAATGCTCCGGATATGTCTACGAACACTCCTAGAGCATACTTTTTATTATGGAGGGCTCTCTCGATGGTGGCTACTAGCGAGTGCAGTGCCGTCTCTACCGATTTCCCTTTGGTGTAGGCATGCTGGTTGGTTGACATCAGTCTCCCTACATCATTCCTGATGTGTAGATCCAGCAGCTTTTCTAGTGTTTTGAGTAGAAAGGAGGTGAGGCTTATCGGTCTGTAATCCTTGGGGCTCATATGGCTGCACTTTCCTGCCTTTGGAAGGAAGACAATCCTCGAGGTCTGCCATTGAATAGGGATATAGCCCGTGCTCAGGCAAGCTGAGTATATTGCAGAGAGCCATGGGGTGATCACGTCTTTGGTCACCTGTAGCATGGCTGGGAATATACCGTCTAGTCCAGGTGCTTTCGTACCCACAAAGGAGTCTATAGCCCAGTGGATTCTCCTAGACGATATGAGATCTGTTGGGGGGTGCTGTTCCTCAGTTGCTAGGTCCTGATGCGTTGTAGCGTCAGCAACCTCGGTGCATCCTGGGAAGTGAGCTTCCATTAGTGCTGTTAGGGCTTCTTCACTGCCCTCAGTCCACTGTCCATCTTCTCGCTTCAGCTGACTCTGTATGGTAGGT